TCTAGATGCACAAATAAAAGAATATAACACAAAAATAGCGACAAGACAGAACACGTACGACGAGGAACATAATAATATAGAAGTAACGCCTACAGCACCACAGTTGCCACCCCTACCACATAACCATCCATTATCATTAGTCCCACGAAATTTCCGAAACTTCGCAATAACACATAACCCAAATTTTAGACCAAACATATCGCAAAGTCCCATACAACACATAATGACACATCATTCACAAGATGAAAATACATATAAACAAATTATAGAACAAACCCATACCACCGCTTTTCAGTCTCAAAGTAATAATTTATTTAGCCCACGATGAGCCGACAACTTGGATCCCTACACCGCTCAAATTCCCACCCACCAACCTTAACACTCCAATTACAATAATTCCACTTTTTGCTTTCCCACCACCCGATTTTCCAAATAGTAATATAACATCAAGCATGAATTCAGACACTAATTCAGATATTTCAGTTTTATACTCCATTTCACAACTAAATAACCCGAATATAGAAACCCCTGACGAATTTGCAGACTCCGAACCATCTCCATCCTATAATTTTCAAACCAACTCCTCAGTTTTTTCAAAGCCTCCTTTTCGACCAATCCCAACAAATAATCCACTCCCGTCCGTTTCTACTCCCTCTTACGCTTCACAAGTAACCCCAACCTATTCTCCATTTCATTCCGATCGATCATCTAATTCTCCCGATACTCCCCAAATCTCCCAAGAACTTGATATTTTTATAACCCTACAACAACAGCTAATACACCGTAACACCCTCACTATAAATCAAATTTCATCCACTGTAGAATCCTCAAATCCACCTACTCCTACATCCTCTTCAGCTTATACTACATCATTAGCACAATCATCCACATCCACCGAATCATCAAATAGCACTAATAGAGCTTACCGCACTTTTAAAAGAAAATTCCCGAACCATCCATTCCCAACCAAACCAGGAACAGCCCGCGAATATATCAACCATCCACATCACACTAACACGAAAGATTTTCTAGCAATCACCTTACCTTCATTCCCACAATATACTTTAAACACACCTAACGACACTAACGACACACGTAGTTTTGTAGATGAACATGTTTAATGCCTACACTTCATTGGACAACATATTATCATTTTACTAATCCCCTTTGCCTACCATTATCTAATACTCATACCGATATAGAAAGAAATCAAGATATGCTATATCGACTCACCACACCATTAACATACAGACAATTTACTTAAATAGGATATAAAAAATCACTAAAAACATACACTGCACCCCGAGCTAACGAATTTACGCTAGAATATTACGATCATAATATCATCCGATCTAACCAAGACCAATTTTTAGATGACGACCGCTTCGCTAACCCACAACTAACAGAAAAAATTTTCATCAAAACACCATATGTATTTACACTCAATATATTTGATCGAAATATTGATCACATCATCTCTGAAGCACTAACTGACATGCAAGCTTATGAAAGTTTTAAAGAAAATTTTCAATTATTTTCACTAACCTTCCACTTCCTTGCACCACATGAACGCGATTTGCACTGCTCACACGACATTATGTTACGCACTAAACAAACCCACACATATACGTATTATCGCTTCATACAAAATCATTTTGATCTCCACACTCCATCAAGACAACCACACCACCGTTTTCAGTTTCTTAATTCAAAGTACACTTCGCCATTTTTTCTAAATTTCACATATTGCATAAAAGACACTAACCTCCACGGCATCCTCCGCAACTATGACCCAATAACACAAATGTATATATTTTGTCCCATCACGAAGACCTTTAATGCAGAAGAATCCAGACCCTTCCTTATCCCACATGAATTTATCCAACCTATAGAAATCCCTATATTAGAATTCATCCATAACACTAAATACAGTCACAAAATATATAATCTCATTCAAAACACACCTTATGAGTTTGCAGTTGACACCGAAGAACTAAAAACTATTAAAGCACTTCAATTGCTTTGGCCACTGCTTCAAACTAAAAACATCATTCGCATACTAGCAAAATTACTAACAAATTCAGAAATAATACACGACATCTTCCCCCACGGTTTTTTCCCCGACGACTGACAGGTAAGTAAAATTTATACATATTCTTCACTAATAAATTTAAAATAAATACTAACCATTCCTTACTCATGTTTCTTTTAGATTTTTAGTCTTCATACCACGATCATCTGCAAAAAACAAGAAAAACAAAATAAAAACTTGTTAAATTTATTCTAAACTTCATTAATATTCCCCACAAAATAATTTGATAAAATTTATATCAAATGAAGTAAATTAATTTATAAATTGTTTTCCCAAAAGCAGTAAATTTCATAATAATGAAAATTTGTAACTTAACTTTTCCCCAAAACTAGCAGTAAAATTAAAATTCTATGTAGTAAATTGATAAAGTAAAAATGCAGTACTAACTCTTTGATATTTTCATTCACTCGCACAAGAATTCTATCCAAACTCGCACAGCTCGCCCACGAAGAATTGTTTAAATAATGAATTTTAGTTTCAAGTTTTCACACTCAACAACTCTAACATACAATAACAAGTTTCAAACTTTTCTTTAACCCGGTTGGAAAGGAATTATATACTAAACCAAACTAACCAACGCAGCTTACTAAACACCAAAAATCATAAAATAACAGCATGACTAAGAAAAGAAAACCAACGGTACCCAAACCGGATTAACCCAGTTTAAAACTGGATAATTTATTCTTTTGAAGACTATTATAAAGTCTAAGAAAGAAATAATAAAACACAAAAAAGTCGAAAGTCAAACTCATAACAAAAACAATTTGATTTTTGAAAAAAGGACACAACCAACGGAACTTTAGAAAGACCACCATAAGCTCAACATAAAACGTTATCACATAACAGGACCTCTCACAGAAACCGCACGAAATCATACTCCCACTCCTGGCCTAACCCACCAGAGAGGACGTCCTGAGCATGCTCTATAGCCGGCCTAACCCACCGCGCTACATCCACGCTTTGTGACCACACTCCTATTTTTTAATAAGAGGTACTCAAGGGTGAGTAACTCTTCAAAATAACCGAACTAAAACAAAAAGCTTTTGTGAAAACAACTAATCAAAATCATAATTAAAACATTGAACTAATAAAAATTTTATAACATGTAAAACATACTTTGCAGTATATAGATCAGCATACAACAACAAAGACGAATATCCAAAGACAAAGTGATCCCACTACACTCGAAAAAGAATGGCCAACCACAACCAAAATGCCGTCCACAATCACAACTCAAAAGATTTAGAGTACGACTTGACTTCGCAGAAAAGGACTTCATTGAACTAGACCAATGACCACCTCGATGTTCAAGTATACGTACAGATACGAGTTACAAGGCATCCCCTCCACGCACAATCTCCACGCCATTCCCAGACGCGGCTGAACACAAAACAAGTTCTCTACATAATACAGAAAAACCCGTCATAGCAAACCATTTTGAAATCAAAATGATTTCGTTGGGAAACACAGTCGTTGTCACAAGAAGATACACGAAGATACGATGTTCGCCCAATACCAACGTTCATCATCCATCCTTTGAATTGCAGAAAGATAATTCTAAAAAACTCTGTAAAACCCGGATGGGTGGAACCTGACCTAAACTATATTTTATGATTGGATAAATTAGATATTTTACCACTGTAAAGTATTTAATATTAACCAATCATGATCCATCTAACTAACAACCCACTTATTTGTAAGTGCTGAAATTACTTGTAATTTCAGCACCAGAGAGATTTGAATTTAACTTAGAAATTAGTTGTCTCTCCGAGAGAACTTCAGCAGCCGCAACAAACCAGTATACCCTAGATCTATTGAGCCTAGCAGAGACTAGTTAAACACCCTGAGACTAGTAAGTATAAGAGTAAGATTAGGATCGGTATTAGACTAAGAAGTTGCACGAATCTATCCGGCCGAAAATAAGATAGCGTGACGAGCAGACGGTGTACCCTATCCGAAATTACGCTATGAGTTAACCACATCGGTCCTAACTCAGCTGATCGATTAAAAATTGGAAGTTGCATAATAGTCCCGAGGGTAGATCCTTTGGATGGGCAGGGGATAAAATGGTTTCAACTCAACGCCGCCTTCTTTCCCTAAATCCACTCCAGGGTTTGAGAGTAATGTCCATTGAAAAACTCAATACCCTTTTCAGAAACTTATATTAAAATTGATTAATGTTCATTATTTCATTGTATTCGGATATATCTCGAGTTTTTTTTATCTGTTGCGACATATCAACCGTTTTTTCCCACTAGCTGCGCCATACCTGTTACTCCGCATTTGTCGCAGGCTAAAGAAGTCGAAAAAAGTTAATAAAAACTCACTTAATTGGTCTGCAAGCTTGGTTGCCTTTTTAAATTTCCCTGATTTGACATTTTCAGACGGCCATGCACTTAAATCAGTTTTAGCACAGCCATTTACTAATCATTGCGCTCTTATGAAATCAGTCAGAACTAATTGATTTAAACAGTCGGTATGGTAGGTACTGCTCCAGTCTATAAATAGTCAGTCAACCCATTTAAACAACAAAACTAAAAGCCCAAACCAAACCCATCAACATGCGTAATAACTAGAGATCTATCTTAAACCATCAATTAGTTGAATCTAAACAAAGTCCAACCCTATCTTGCCCGATGTAAAGTCATGACCTGTTACGCCCTTCCTTCCAATAAAGGTTTCCTTTCATTTTTCAATCTTTGGTTTTCTAAATACAACCAAAGAGTTTTTTCAGTCAAACTTACGTAACTTTCGAGTGACCATGATCTTTATTCATTCATCATAAAACAAAGGTAAAATTTGGGCAAAAAGACATACAAAACTTAATATATGGGGCAAAACAGACACCAAAAATTTAACAGATTTTAACATCAATTTTTTTTCTGTTCATGATCAGAAATATACTCACAAATCCGGCAGAGAATGTTTTCTGAAAATGTGCAATGAAATAAAAGTCTATCGGTCGGTCTCAAATAAAACCGATAGTGTGTTAAAATTTAGTTATAAAAATAAACGTCCAGTAAAACAAACTGACAACTATAAGTTCAGTTTTGAACAAAAAATAATAACGCTAAGTAATGAAATAAAATTTCCCTTCTTATAAGATTTGCATGACATCGATTTGTTGAATGGCCTATTTCTATTTTTTTCGAGACGCTTTGTTTCATTATGCTGGATTTGAATAGATTAATTGTTCTTGAGCACTAGAGAATTGAAAACGGATTCAAATTTATATTTGCTCCTATAATGAAAAAAAAAATGTTTTTAACTTCTCAAAAAAACAGTGAAGCTCTTTAAAATTGACAAATCTAAAACTGAATGCAGAAGGAAACGGTGCACATCCATAGATCCGCATTCCTAGAAACGCGAAAAAAAAATTTAATTTATTTTGTTAAAGATTTAGCAACAACCAAAAATATAACTACCAAAACGAAATCTTTTTATCCGGATAAATAAAAAAACGCCTTATATTATAGTCTTGCATATATTTGCAATTTTTTTTTGAAAGTTTTAACCCCTTTGTCTTCAGTTTTTGCGTTATTTTTTTGCTCCGATCTTTTTTTGAAAGATTTTTCCTTGTTTGCTTTTTTGATTGACTGTTTAACGAGGTTTTGATGTTTTAATGCCTCAGATGTCTAGCTTTTTATGTTAAAAAAGGTTAAAGAAGAGTAGCGAAATATGACAAAAAAACGTTACTTCATTAAAAATAGTGAAAAGTTTGGCACAAAAAATGAAGACTTTTATTGGAATGCTTCACCTAAACGAATTTTGAAAATTAGTTTATAGCACAATCTTATCTTTTTAATTTAAAGGAGAATAGCGTTTTGATCTGCATTGGAAAGCATCATGAAATTTAATTCGATTGAAAGCGTGAAAGGTTGGCTCAAAAATATAGAAACGTTGATTATGTTGCTTCACGTGAACAAATTATGAACTCAATTGAATGGCACTCTTACTTTTTATGTTAAAGAAGATTATATTTTTGTCATCTGTATAGGAGAGAATAATAAAAAGTAACAATTCTCTTGAAAGTGTGAACAGTTTGGATTAAAGTATGAAAACATCACGTTAAAAAATTGTTAACACTTTTGTATGCGCTTTATCTTATCATGTTGACGGGGAATAGCTTTTTGTTCCGACTTTCATAAGGAAGGTAACGGAATATTTGTGCTTGTTGTGGTTTTTTTTCTTCAGACAAAATTCGACTTTTTAACTAGCCATCTTTGAAGGAACTTTTTTATACCATTCGAAAGGTATTGTTATCCCTAGCTTAAATTTGAAAAAATATTTCACCTGTGATCATTTTTTGTAAAGTTCTGGGGGTTTAAAGATTGCCATTTTGGCCAATTTGGGACAATTAACGCGCGGATATATTTTGCGCTTTTAACGTGTAAGCGTAGATTTAATCCGTCATAGAAATTGTTCCAAATTGGTTGAAGGAAGCTTATTTGCCATAATTGGTTTATTACCCACATTGCATTTACTTTTTCTTGTTTTTACTGCTCCATAGACCTTATAAGGCGTCGGAACATTCAGGGCCTCGCCCTGATACAAGCAGTTTTGTTGTCATTTGCATTGGAAAACTTAAAAAAAGCGATATTTCTATTGAAAGAGTGAACACTTCGGCTCAAGGTGTGAAAAAAAATTTTGCGTTGCTTCACGTGAACCAATTTGCAAACACCATTCTCTGGTACTTTGTCTTTTTGTTCCGACTTTGGAAGAAAGTAAGGAAGATATATGCTCAGGGCCATTTCTTATTCAGACCAATTCTCAAAAATATTTCCCTGGGGGATCGATCCATGGATCTTCGTCAGAACGGTCGCACTCACTACTACTAGACTACACTGACAATAATTTTCAATATACGATTCTTCATATTCAGCTTAAATTTCATAGTTTGTCAAAGTTTCATTAACCAAAAATTATTCGAGGCAAGTTTATGAGTAGTTGGAACTTTCAGGGCTGTCAATCAGATTTGTAAATCAAGTCTGGTGGTAATTGCTTTATGTTTTTCGGTAAAAGGTCGGTCTGGTAAAAGTTCGGTTCCTTCTTCTGCCATGCGCATTGGAAAGCATAATGAAAAATACTTCGTTTGAAAGTGTGAACAATTTGGATAAAAGTGTGAAAACATTTACTGGGTTGCATCACGTGAACAAATTGTGAACACAAATGTTTGGTACTCAATACTCACTCTTGCCACTTGAGTATATTCTGGTCCTTCAGTTGTTCCTCAATGGACACTCCCCCTGATGACGTCACTCCTGCTGCCCCACTCACAATTCCATTGGACTCCTCCTCCGCATGCTTTTTGCTACAAATTAAAATGTTTCAAAATTCGGGCTCGTTTCCAGTTCCCCCCTTTCAAAATACCCAGTTTAATGTTTGTTTTACGCGTTATTACGGCTAAATGCGTAATGTTACGCTGTAAAGTATGAAGAACAAATCTGTTCAGAATTGTCGATTTGTTCACCACGCCAAATTTCATTGCATTGTGACAACGTTAAATTGACTTTTCATACTTGAATTTGAAAGGGGGGAACTGGAAAAGAGCCAAAATTTGAACTTGTTAGATAGTTTTTTTTTCGTTTTTGATAGTATTTAGGAAACGAGTATGTGGGAAAGTTGGGCCAATCAATTTAAAAGAGGGACCAAAATTGGTTTCATATGCAATATGGAACAAGCATGATAGTTGGCTCCCGAAATTATTGTATCTAAAGCAAAAAAAAATCCCAAAATTTAGAAAAAAGCGCGTATTTTGCTTCATTGCGTTTCCGGCATTAAAACAAAAATATTGGTCACAATAATTCAAATCTGTATCGAACCAAGTGTAACTGTATGATTTGTTTAGCAAAAAACTTGTAGTTGCTTACCGTTTGGGTGAGAATGAGGTGGTGGCGTGTCCGTATCCATTGCTGTAGCTGGCTTGAGACCCAGTCGAGTTGGCCAGCTCTTTCAGCACCTGACCGACACTTCCCTTCTTCTGTCGGTGAGTTATTGAGCCCACTCTGATCCCTGATACAGCTCCCATAGAGGAACGCCTCTTTAACAAAATTCAGACAAAGTGCCAATATTTTCATTGTTTAGTTTGTTGTCCTACCCTTGAGGTAATTACGGAAAAATAACTTTTTTTTATAATTTTTTATTTTCCATAAACTTTCTGCTATTTTGGATTTAAAAATAACGGAAACAAAAATCGGTTTCATTGACAAAAAATGAATCTATATGTAGCCCCTGTAAACTTAGATAATTTACAGCTGTGATTTTTCTCATTGTTACAAAAAACAGCTAGTCGCTAAGCTTTTGGGGATGTACAAAAAACCTTTTGGCCAAAATGTTTGACTAAGTTATGGCGCTGAACAAAGATAATCCATAAAACTCAACGGGTTAAAAAGAACTATTTGAAAGCGGCAAACTATGCCACAAGTAAAATCAGCCAAACTGATTTGTAGCAAACTAACTGTTCCTATCATTCATTATTGTTTCGACTTTCGAAGAAAGCAAGGAATATATTTGATCGGGGCGCTTTTTTTCAGACCAATCTCAAAAACATTTCCCTCGGGGGCTCGATGCATGGATTTTCGCGGACACTGAATGGTCGCGGACACTGAAATCTATTCGAGACCAGTTTATGGCCCTGATACGAGCAGTCTTGTTAAACTACTGCACTCAAATTTTTGTTTCGACTTTCGCAGGCCTACTTTAACTTTTTAACTAGCCATTTTTCAGCGTAATTTTTTATACCATCTGAAAATCAGTGATTTCATGAGCTCAAGTTTAAATAATAATTACCTGTGATTGTTTTTGAAACAACTATCAGGTTGGAAATTAGCCGATTTGGCAAATTTGGGTTCTTTAGCGCGCGAGATATCTCGTGCTAGTAACGCGGGAGCCGCTATTTAAATCTCTCTTAAGTACTTCCAATCTTGGTATAGCGTGTATTTGGTTTGTCAATATTTAAGTTTTTTCAAGTTTTTTTTGCATTTGAAACAGAGACATTGGAAGGAAGATGGAACTTCCAGGGCATCTCCCTAATACAAGCAGTCTTGTATCACCTAAGTATTGATGTTTGAAAACGAAAACAATCAAAATTTTAAATCTTTTTTAAGCGATATCTGACTTTTTTTAAAACAAAAATAAGGTCTATCGGAAAATTCGGGGCTTTGACTTGATACGAGCAGCATCCTTTTCTTTTTAAGAAAACTACGACAGTACAAAAAATCGTTTGTAACGGAAATTTTTATACAATGCAAAACGATACTGATGTGTTGACACAGAACAAAAATGATAACTTTAAACTTGTGACCTTTTGTGAATTTGAGAGCCCTTTGGAGAGAATGTTTTATCTGCAGAACTCACATCAATAAAGTGAATTTTTTAATTGCTGCGAGTGATTGCAGACTAAAAAAATTTGCAGTTCAATTCAAAGCAAAAAATTTGATCTCAATAAATCACTATGGTCTCAAGTAAGTTACAATATTCGACTTTTTAACTAATCATTTTCTACTTTTATGCAAAAGATATTGACTCATTTAGCTCAAGAAAAAATAAATTTTCTAAAACTATGAAGGTTTAAAAATTACCAATTTTTGATAACAAGGCTCGGAAAATGTTCAAAAATGAATTGAGGCAAGCTATTTGCTTATGATAAATTATGAGATGCAAAAATTAATTGTACTTCAATAACCTGCCGAGGGGAAGATTTTAATCGGAAATTAAATAGAAAACACTTCAAACTAACTCACTCTGATGAGTGGTCTTGTTCAATTTTGATCATTGAACATCAATTGTCATTTTTTTTTCAACCAGAATTATGGTCGGAAATTTGGCAATATTTATGCATCAAACAATATCTCCCGCTCTTTGACTCAACTGTTATCCCCATCTAAGGCATAATCAATAGTTAAAAATAATTTTGAGGTCATCTTCCCTTAAGGCTGGGCAATTTGGATAGACAAAAAAGCCTTTTTCATTCAAATAGTCGAATCAAGCAAACTAAAAAAAAAAATCTTTTCTTAAGCCAATTAGTTGGAACCCATTAATTCCTCTTGTTGCAAATGGGTACAAAGAGCAGTCGCTTTTAAAAGCAACCAAGAGTTAAGCCCCAATTAGCTCGTGCCAATTTGTTCCTCTTATCGCAAATGGGTACAAAGCGCAGCCTCTTATAAAAGCAACTAAAATTGAAACCTTTTTTTGCATTAAGGTAGCAAGAAGCTGCAAACTGCGAAGGTCACAAAAAATGGGAAAATTTCAATCATACGCTTAGTACAATGTCAATATAGCAAAAACTCAAGTATAAAAAAAAACATTTGACTGATTTCATTATAGCAAACTCAGTTAAAGTTCAATAATATACGTATTAAGTGCAACCCGGATTGTAATCCCACTTTTAGCTTTTTTCTGTAGTATCCCAGACTTCTCGTTGTATTTATCTAGCCTCAATGAACTTATCTACCCCTACTGCATGTAGATTGGTTCAAAAGCTTTCAAAAAGATTGTCAGACAGACTTTTAAATTGATTTGAACCAAACAAAATCGCGGCCGGTAAAATTATAAATAACCTCTGTTCAAAAGTCAAAAAATCATCTTACGAAAAAAAAATTACGTTAAACTAATCTGAAGTGAAAAATTTACAAAGTTTGAATTCTTCTACGCGTATAATAGCATATTTTGAGCAGCAAAAATATTCAAAAATGGAAAAAAAATTATTATTATATAAATTGAAAAAAAAAATGCTAAATTTTGATAAGCAAGCGGCGCTGTTTGGATAATTTTTAACTCTAATGTGAATTGAAATTAGAATTTCCTTCCCGCTATGATAACCCGCATCCAGTTTCAAGCGTTTTTAATTGGTTATAATATGATTTTAGTACCAGTCTTACAAAAGTTGAGAAAGAATTGATTTTAATTCAAAAATTGATTTGAAATCAAAAAGAATCAATTATATTACATTATAATCGATTATATTATCGGTTGTTTTTATCCAATTTTCTAATTTAGCTGCTGCAGAAAAAATTGATTGTTTATAATCCTCTTTGTCTGCCCATTTTGTCTTCGACCTTCACTTGATCCACCTGAATTGCTTATGTTTTATGCTTTTCGTAGACGTTGGTCTAAGAAAGATATTGGAAAATTGTTTTAACAATTCAAAAAAATAACGTTTTTTTTTCATTTCTTCTTGATTATAATTGTTTCATGATGCACATTTTAAGTTTTTTTGATCACCAAAAAATCAGTACACTGCTTTAGTTTCATGATTTATATAGAAGAGTTATATTTCACCTACCGCAGGGTTCTTTCAACTAATATGAAGGAGCTATTTCAATACTGATTCCGTAGAAAAACAGAGCTTAACTTAAGAAGCTGTGAGTCCTTCTAGTAGCTTTCAAATGAGAATAAACCGATAAGATTAACTTAAGAAGTTGTAACTCATCGTAGTAGCTCTCAAATGAGAGTGTGAGGTAATAAACCCTATATTGTAATAAACCCTAAAAACCCTATCGTAGCGCAGAGGTAGCAAACATGTCTAAAATGCTAATTCATTAATGATTCTGTAGAAAATCAGAGCTTAACTTAAGAAGTTTTCATTCATTTTAGTAGTTTTCAAATAAGAGTGCGAGCTGATAACCCTATAACTTGCAAGAAACACTTAAACCCTATAACTATTGTGACGCAGAGTAGCATACATGCCTACGAAGCTGATGGTTGCTTGATTGATCTCCAGTAGGTCACTAATTAAGCTCATTTTGATTGGTTTTCCATCGCTGTAAACATTTAAGTTTTAGGTTTATTATTTCACACTCTCATTTGGACGCACTCTCACTTGAAAGCTACTAGAACCCTATAAACCTTGATTCTCGTATTCTAAGCCATTGAGTGTATTTTGATAAACCCTAAAATGTATCGCAGAGCTAGCATTCATGCCTACAAAGCTGATAGTTGCGGGATCGATCCCCGGTGGGTTAATATTTTTTTCTCATTTTGATAGGTTTCTTATCGATGTTTTATCGCTGAAAATTAGCCAAGTTAGCAATAAATCTATTGATAAAATTTGCTATTGCGGCTATGAACATCGATAATTCATCAATGGCGATCGCTGTATTTTTTTCATTGTTAATTTTCAATGTGAACTCAACATGGGAATAGCGTACGTGAATAGCTATAAAACATTTTTGATTGATTTGGTTAAATAACAGTTTGCAAAACAGATCAATTACATCACAATTACTCCAAGCACAGGGGCGGATCTAGGATTTCTCGAGGGGAAGGGGTGCCCATTTTCCACAAATTTCCAAAACTTAAAACGACCAACTTGATTTTCCGAGCTCTCCCAAAGCACTATAAAGACCTTTATTGACCAAATTTTCTGCCCCACAGGCCAAATTTTGAAAAACAGGCCAAAAAAGAAGTTTTTAGCCTCTTTTTGGTAAATTTCGAGCAAAAAATTGTGCTTCTACTGCGTGCGCTTCCCCCTCAAAATTACTCTTGGCGTCAAAGGCGGCTTTAGAAGCTTTTTAGGGTCCGTCACCAAAAATGGATTTCTCAAAAAAGTACCATGCGGAGATCATTGCTGAGTGAGACGATTGAAACTTTTGAAATTTTACCGAATCTCACTCTTGCCGAACAAATGCTCCACAAAGCCGGAGGTCGGTCTTTGTTATTCATAATGTGAATAATCACTCTTTCACATGAATTGAATGAAAAAACGGTAAATTCCAGTTCATAAATTATCAATTATCGGGGCGTTATCATAATTTTTGCATGATGTAATAACCATATAAGAGATGACAATTTAAGACTTGAGAACCAAGAGTCTTGGGTATTTGGCGACCACAGAAAAGCAAAAACAAAGGTCCAGAGCTGACGCCGGAGCTGCAAAGATTCCCCATTTGTCCTTCTCAACGTCAATTCAGAGGTCTCAGAGGTTCCCCTAGACTGCGACTGCCACTAGCTGCCTCTAGAGCGGCAGAAGGTCCCCCAACTGACATTCTCAAAATCAATTCAGAGGTCTCAGCGGTCCTCCTACAACTGCGACTGCTACTA